CCCTCACTCCTCAGTGCTGTGCATGTGCTGCAGCCTGAAATCATCCTCTCCTGTTCCTGTTCCTTCCCAGGCCGACGGAAAGGGAACGAACCGAGCGGCTCATCAAAGCCAAGCTCCGGAGCATCATGACCAGCAAAGACCTGGAAAATGTGACTTCCAAGGAGGTAARTAGAAAAATTCTCCCTCTTATTCTTCCTGCCAGACTCCCTCTCCAGAGACTGGTGAGCAGGCACCATATGCCTGGCTGTCACTGACTTTGGAATCTGCATTCCAGCCTTTCTGTAAAGGTTCTGCTACACCTCCCTCCTGAYAAATCAGGATAATCCCAGCATCAGAACTGCCTTTCAGGACCTTAGTAACAACTATGTGACTCTTAAGTCAAGTTTTACGGCTTTATTTCCTTTTTTTTTCCTGGACAAATGTCAAAGGACCTTGCAGACAGTATTTTGCTGTTGAGTTTATGGGTGGAAAATCACAAATCGAGGCTAAAGCTCGTTTGGATCCATCCCCCAGGCTGGTGTAATCCATCCACCCACAGTGCAGACATGCTCAGAGTGGAAATRGTTCCTTTTGGGGTGGGTTTTTGGTTTTTAAGGGAGGTTATTAATATGCAAGTGATAGAAGGAAGCTGAGAACATGTCTGTCTGTGGACGTGTTTCTCACTCCTGCTGCAGAGAAGCTCTTGTTTTTTATCTCTCAAATTATTATTTTTAAGGAGCGGGTGCCCCAAAATATTTTATTTTTCTTTCAGATCTTATCTGAAGCTTTATTTACAGCTTCTTAGTTTTGGGGTTTAGGATACCAGAGTGCCAGGGCAAGGGACRGGGTTTTAAACTGCCAGAGGGCAGGGATAGGTGGAATATTGGGAAGAAATTCTTCCCTGGCATGGAATTCCCAGAGAAGCTGTGGCTRCCCCATCCCTGGAAGTGTCCAAGGCCAGKTTRGATGGGGCTTGGAGCAACCTGGGATAGTGGAATGAGATGAGYTTTAAGGTCTCTTCCCAAACAAACCATTGAGAGATGCCACATATTGAAATTTCTTGTCTGCAGAAAGTTAAGTTCCCGTTGCTGTTTTTAATGAAGTGTTCCTCAGGGAAGTGCCCACAAATGWTTCTGTTGGATACCAAGATTCCAGTGCCATCCTTTGTCTTTGCTCTGCAGATCCGAAACGAGCTGGAGAAACACATGAACTGCAACTTGAAGGAATTCAAGGAATTCATAGACAATGAAATGCTGCTGATCCTGGGTCAGATGGACAARCCATCCCTGATTTTTGATCATTTATACCTGGTGAGTGTCAGGAGCTCCAAGAGAGATGGGCTGTGCTGTGTCCAATCCTTTGCCACTAGATGGTACTCCAGGCAAAACCAGGCTCTGCCTCTGGAACAAAGACTTCCCAGAGATGAACACTTTGTGCCTGTTGGATCTTTCTTGTTGTTCTGGAGAGTGTCAGAGGAATTGCTTGTGTTTGAGGGCAAAACCTACTTTTTAACAGTTTTAACCTTTRTCTTGTGAAAGTTTGGGGGGAATCCAAGGTGTAGCCACCCCCAGAGCTTTCAGGATTTGCCTCACTTCTCATGTGTGGCATGTCTGGGATCACAGGTATAATSACTTTGTTTCCCTGCACTGTTTCTCCTTGTGATTAAAAATCCAGAGTGGTCAGGGGCAGTGATTTGGGATGAGCTCAGTCACACCCTGGCCTAGAACTGACTCTGTAGGTGAGCTGTGCTTCCATCCCTCCTGCACCAGGTCCCTGCCTGCTCAGGACAGGACATCTGTCCATGCCATATTCCTTCCTCAAAGGCTCTTSCCAACATTTCAGTCAGCTCAGGAGGATGGCTGGGGCTGGGGGATTGCAGAYTGTGGAGGAGAAAGGTCTGCTTTGGGATCCCCTGGAAATGTGTGTTTGTGGCTGTTGCAGGGCTCCGAGTGGAACGCTTCCAACCTGGAGGAGCTGCAGGGCTCAGGGTGAGTACTGCACCTCCCAAACTCTCCTCTCTGTGCCTCAGTGTCCCCAGGACTCTAGAGAGGACATTTGTAGGCTTATCTAGGTTTGATTTGGGGCCCATTCTCAGCCATGGGGTAACTTCCCACCAGCAGCTCCCTGGAGAAATCTCTCCAGCCTCTCTTTTATCACCAGCACAGAGTGAAAAYAGCAAAACCTGTAATTTGAGGGGTCCAACAGAATCTCCATCCCCCAGTGTGCCAAGTGTTGTGCCAGGGGTGAATTCCTGCAGGCTATAGGGGAGAAAAGGCTACAGCACTAAGGAAAAATCTCCATCCAGATGGAGCAGAGCTGCCTGTGGATGARCAAACTCCTCCTCACCTGCCAGCTCCAGGTGTTTTTTTCCATCCCCACGGTCCTGCTTGGCTCCATCCTCTGCCCACACTTTTTGGATCAGGGAGAATTCTACCTATAAATATTTGCTGCTCGCTCAAGGCCTGCACCAACCTTGATGTGAGGAACTGAAATTATTGCTCAATAGCACAGCTGAGAATGTTTCTTTTGGAGTCCGTGGGAACAGATGTCTGCACATCTTGGGACAAGGAAATCAAGCAGGGTATTAATGATTATGCCTTGCTTTGGGACTTGCAGTGTCCAAAGGCAAAGCTGGACAAATTCTGAGACAAATATCCTGTGTCCTTGATTTGTCTGTGTGATAGGAGGTGATAAATCAATCAGGACATTCATTCTTGGGCACATTGTTACCCCTGCTGTGATATTTGGCAGGAATTGAGAGATAACCATGGGAGAATCGTATGTTTTGGTCAGAAAGAAGGGGAAGGGATGGGTTTGCAGCTAAAACCTGCAGCTGGAGATGGTGATTCCTGGGTTCTGTTCCCAGATGATTCCCTTCTTTCTGCATCCCCACAGCAAGGACTTTCTGGTTGGGTTCACAGACTCAGAGACAATAAATGAGATAAAATAAACTTCTCCCTCCTGTGCCCAGGGTGTTGGGACACTTTGGGTGTKCTGGCAGTGAGAGGTGGCTGAATGGCCTCTTGTGTGTCACTGGCTGTCCTGGGCRTTTAGGATTAGGGCTGTAGGTAAAACCTTCACGTTCCCAACATCCCTCAGTGCCTGTTTGATGACCATGGTAGCTCAGGGATGTCTGTCCTCGTTCCCACAGCATTGACTACATCCTGAATGTCACCCGGGAGATCGATAACTTCTTCCCGGGCCTGTTYGCGTATCACAACATCCGCGTGTACGACGAGGAGACCACGGACCTGCTGGCACACTGGAACGAGGCTTATCACTTCATCAACAAGGCCAAGTGAGTGCTGGGGCACCTGGCTCTGGGGGAGGGCACATCCCAGCTCTCCGTGTCTCATCCTGGACTCTCCCAAAGCCACATAAACTGCAGGGCCTTGGTATGATCATTCCATCTTCCTGGAACTCTGTCATGCCCTGTCCCTTCCTGGACTGGCATTAACCTGTTCCTAGCCTAGCAGTTTTATTACTACTTTGTTTTGCTTCCAAAAGGAAATGAGGATGTTTCCTCTTCTGGAGAAGTTCTGGAGCTGCTCCAGCACGTGTCCGTGTTGGACGTGCCCCAGCTGTCTCTGCAGACAGAGCCTATCAAAGCCTTTGCACTCAACCTTTTCTCAGTGGTCCCAGTATCCAAAGACTTGGATGGAAGCAGGAGGCTTCATAGTGGTCTTTGGAATAAATGAGGCTGCTCTGGAGCTTTTCTAGAGAGGGATTCTTCCCCTGGCCCACAAAATCCAAAATGTTCCTCCCCTCTGGAGCTGTGATGCAGGGTGAACAGCAGCAGGGAATGCTGTCTGTCCTCCAGTGAAGCCATAATAGACCCAAAACCAGCAACAGGAGATTCATTTTTGCTCTTCTTCCAGGAAGAACCACTCCAAGTGCCTGGTGCACTGCAAGATGGGCGTGAGCCGCTCTGCCTCCACCGTCATTGCCTACGCCATGAAGGAGTTTGGCTGGTCCCTGGAAAAGGCCTACAATTACGTGAAGCAGAAGCGCAGCATCGCACGGCCCAACGCCGGCTTCATGCGGCAGCTGCTGGAGTACGAGGGCATTTTGGATGCCAGGTAAGGCTCGGGGTGAGTGGGAGGGAAAGGAGCTGATTGTGGATAAAATCACAAAGGCTTGGTGAATCTCCATGGGGCTCTGTYGGTGTCATGCCCACAGACACGTCAGGGGCTGTGGCCTGAAGGGTCCCTTTAGACCTGGACTAATCGTGATTTCCCTAAACCTTCCCTGTGCCAGGCTTCCTGCATGGAAATTAGCTGGGAGAACTGCTCTGGTGTAATTCAGTGAGGCTTTCTCCGTGCTTGGGAAGCACGTTTGGATTTCTCAGCAGCCAGTGCTTCTCAGCACAGCTTTGTTCTTGTTTTATGAGGCAGAACTGAGCTCGGGCCATGCCGGAGGCAAAGTGTTTGTGGTTCTGTGCCAGTCCCAGGGCTGTCACTGCAAGGGCTGTAGTATTTATGTACTAATGGAAGAGGAGGGAGTTCTGTTCCTTGGTTCAGCAGGGTCAGTTTGGCGTGTTCTGCTCTGAAGGGACTGCTGTGCCCTGAGGGGTCTCCCGAGGGCTGATCCCATCATGGYTGCACTCAGGGCACTGCTCTGGAATGGGCAGGTGAGGGGAAAAAATCCCAATGCTGAAGGTGGTTTGTCCAAGTGGGATCTCAGGTCTGGGCCCTTGGGTTCTGGGCTGTGCAGAGGGACAGGAGCTCCTGGCACTGGGCATCCTGCAGCTGCAGGGCAATCACATGTGTCCTTTTCCTCTCCCCAGCAAGCAGCGCCACAATAAACTGTGGAAGCAGCAGGCAGAGAGCAACCTGCCCCAGAACACCGATGGCACCACGGGATCRGGAGACTTCTTACTGGAGAGCTTGGACATCGACCTGGAAAACCGCCTGGCTGACCTGGACATGCCTTCCCAGTCAGCCTACCTGGACAACCGCGCCGGSTCCGACGTGTCCGTGGGCTTCGATTACTGCTTCCGCCGCCTCTCRGACACGCTGCTGGAGAACAAGATTCCCGGAGACAGGGAGGGCTTCTTCCACATGGAGCAGATGGAGAGGGATGCCCTGGTGGGACAGCCTTCACCTGCATTGTCCCAGGGGAGGCTGCTGGAGACGGGAAAGGCTCCGGAGAGAGCGGAGCCTCTGGCAGAGCTGGGTGGCTTCTGYGAGAAGGAGGCGAAGAAGAAGATGGACTTCAGCCCCAGGAAGGGAAGGATGGTCCTTGGGGAACCAGGGGAGGATGGTGTCAGGGAGGAAAATCCCATGGAGAAGTGGAAGCGGCGTTTGTCCATGCACAAGGAGGAGAGCAGGCTCAATAGGGAGAACTTGAATAACAACAACAGCAAAAGGAGTTGCCCAGAGGATTTTGAGGTGCGTATGGAGGTGAGATGGAGGTGATTGGCATGGCTGACTCTGCTGCAAGTGAAACTGCTCTTCTCATCCTCATAGCCCAGTTTCATTTGACTTGGATAAAGCCTTTCATTCCATGATGAGCTTCTCCCCTTTCGAAGCGCTTCTGACCAGGGCTTTGCTTGCCCGAGCTGTGGATGTAGATGCCAGAGAGTGCCCAGTGAGTGCCCTGTAAAGTGCTGTGGGCAGCTCGCTTGCATGACCCTCGCTTGGCACGGTAGGTATTCCTTGGAGACACTGTCTGCTGGGAAAGCACGTGGCTTTAGCTCCTGCTGCAGGGCCTGAGGTGGAAATGGGCTTCRTTCCAGATCTCTTTGGCTGTCCCTCACCTTGTGGGCTGTGCTGGTGTCTGTTCCGTGCTCGCTGATCTGTACCTGTTTTCTTTCCTGCAGCACGATGCCGTGTTCGGGATCCTCAGCAAGGTGAAGCCTTCCTATCAGTCCTGCACKGACTGCATGTATTCCTCAGCTGGGTTATCCCCCGACTCCTTTGGGGAGCAGTGCGAGAGGCTCGGCGCCGGCACCACGCGGCGCAGCAGCACCATCTGCACCCAGCCCCCGCTGCTGTCCCAGCTGCATTCCCACCTGATGGACCACCTGCCCAGCAGGGCRCACCCCGAGGAGCCACTCAGAACTAAACACAGCGAGGCTCCGCTTCCTCCAGCTCTGGGAGCTGCAGCTTTGGAGGTTGGCACATGCAGGCCACTCGATCAGCCCTGTGGCCTTTTGGAGAGAGGGAAGGATGCGCCCAAAACGCCCAAAAAAACTCCACTGCCCAGGAGAAACTCCCACTGTGATAGGAGCCTCCTTCACACAGAGGCGGTGAGGGAGGAGTCTCTGGCCAGAAAGGACCCCAGACCCACCAAGGACGTGAAGTACCTGTTGTTCAGCAAAGACTTGGAAAAGCCGAGCGCCAACAGTTACTTGATGCAGCACCAGGAGTCGCTGCTCCAGCTGCAGAAGGCAGGATTGGTCAGGAAGCACACCAAAGAGCTGGAGCGCCTCAAGAGCCTGCCCTCRGACGCCTCGGCGCTGCTCCGGGACAGCCCCCTGGGCAGGGTCGACTCCAGCATCGTGGAGGAAAGCGAGGAGTTGATGTCCCATCCCGGCCTTGTGCCTCTCCTGGCCCCGGCCCCGCTGCTGGCCCGAGACGCAGAGAACGACGTGGAGAAGCTGGGGGTGAAGCGCATCCTGGAGGGCACCTCCCAGAAAACCTCCACGCCGGCCGGGTTCCGCCCGGAGCACACGAGCAGCTTCACCAAGGACTTCCTGAAGACCATCTGCTACACCCCCTCGTCTTCCCGCAGCTCCAACCTGACACGGAGCTCCAGCAGCGACAGCATCCACAGCGTGCGGGGCAAGCCTGGCCTGGTGAAGCAACGCACGCAGGAGATCGAGACCAGGCTGCGCCTGGCCGGCCTCACCGTGTCCTCCCCCCTGAAAAGGTCCAATTCCCTCGCCAAGCTGGGATGTCTGAACTTGTCCTCTGAGGACTTGTCGAGTGATGTGGATGTGTCCACCATCACGGACTCCAAGGAGGCCGTGTCCAGCGAGTGCTCCGGGCTCTGTGAGCCCCCGCCCAGGAGCGCAGACGGCACCTCCAAACCTGGGGTGAAGCTGCTGGGTGGGAACTTGAAGAACACGCTTTGGATGGGCAAAAGTTGATGCCTTTCAGGGAAGGAGGGGGCTGGATTTGGGGGTTTTAYAGCATTTATTCATTGCGCCAGTGCTGTTTTATCTTCTGACTTGCAGCAGTTTATCTGGTGCCACCTCCTCGTCCCCTCCCTGTGCTCCAAGAGAGGAGGACAGAACCACGATAGGTAACGGTGAAGGGCACAAGGGAAATAAAATGTGTTGCATGGCTTAGAGGAGGACTTGGTGTGTGACTTACCTGTTGTCCTGCAGGATGCTCTTCCTAGTACTGTTTGCCAAGTGTAATAACGTGGATTTGTGTGTGGTTATGGATAGATATTTGTATCTCTATCTATCTGTATCTAAAATGCTGAAATACTCTGTTTCAAAGACTCAAAATAATTATTCATTACTTTTTTTTTACAGAACAAACACAAGTCTCTATTTATAAACAGGGCACTTGTGRAAAATCCTTAAAATGGTGACACGCACACTACCTCTGTTCTCGCTGGCTTTTCATCCTGGTTTGTTGTTTGGGGCTTTTACCCAAAAGGCTTTTCCCGGAATTCTTGCTGTTGTTTGAAGGAATTCCCTTATCATTAGCTGTAAAGGCCTGGAAGAGTGTGGACACAGAGGCTTCGGTGACAGAGTTCTGAGCTGTGTCCGTGGGGATGCTGTGACCCGMTGTCACTGCGGCTGTGTGGCTGTCACAGGTGTTGTGTTCTTGGGGTGTTTTGCTGTTGTCATGGTCTGTGTTGTCCCAGTGTTGACAGAGCCTGGCCAGTGGTTGCCCGTGGGCCCTCGTGATGTGAAGCTGTGTCAGTGTCGTGGATCCTGTGCCAGGGACCCTCTGTCACTGGGCTGTGGGTGACATGGTGTGGCTCTCCTGGAGTCCCAGTAGGTGACCGAGTGTCTTTTATGGTCGTGCTGTTGGTTTTGTAGGTCCTGGGTTTGCTGGCAGCCCAGGGAGCTGCTGGAGGAATCCTGGGTGTTGTTTRTGGTGGGTGGCCCTGGAGCAGGAGCTGGGCCCGTCCCAGACCCCACAGGGTGTGAGAGCCACATCAGTCCCACCCAGGGAGCAGCTGGACAGAAATGTGGACACGCTTGGAGGAGAGAGGTGTTGGAGGAAAAAATCTCCATGGAAAGGTTTTCTTGTCTCTCTTTGAGGTGGGGCAGAGCCAGGCTGCAGCAGCCGGYCTGAATTGTATTGACTGAAAACCCGGTGTCTCGAGGAAGGGAGATGTGTTTTCCTGCCCTAAATGCCTGCAGTTCCCTTTTTTTCCCTTAAGCATAAGATCCTGCATGATTCATTTGTGTGAGGAATTGTAGGGACAGGCAATCAGTGAATAATTGTCCCTCCTGAACCAGTCTAAATTTGATGTGCACTTGTTCCACTCAGGAGAGCTGGTGTGGAGCAAAAGGGGGGGAAGTTGTGCAGGAGCGAAGTGCTGGGTTGTGCTCAGGGTGGGATGAGACCCCATGAGCTATGGCCAGACCCATTCCCTGTGTTTGGATCATCTTTATTCTCCTTTGCACCCAGATGTGGATTTGGGAAGGAGCAGGTGGGAGCGCAGGGGCCGTTGGGTGCCACAGGGCTTGGAGCAGCAGCTGGGAAACCTTCCCTGCCTGGGAACCTCTGCAACCTCCAGAGCGATCCCAGCACAATTCCACCTTCACCCTCGGCTCACTGGGGCCACCCATGGGGTCCTTCTCTGTGTGCTCCGACCCTTCCCATCACTGCCTGGCTGAGGGAAGAGGTGCTGGGGACGGATTTGAATGAACTCTGAAAACTCTGTGAACCAATACAAGCAAAGATGTGATTTCCTTCCCGTTTCTCGAGTGCCTGCCGAGTTCTGCYGCGTCCAACCCATCACTTTCCAGGGCTCAGCTCGGCACCCTCCATCCTCCCCGCTGCTGCTCCCACTTGGCTGTGGCTGGATCAACCCCAGGCTTCTCTCTGGGCTCGGGGCTCCCTCCCTGCGTGCTGGGGATGCACACGCGGTTTGTGGGAGCTGCTCCGGCAGCACCGCTGTGCCATTCCCAGGGGTTTGTAGCCAAACCTGCCCCATCACACCGGGTTTGTTGCATGACAAGGTTGATGTGTTTGTCCTCCCCGCGTGTCGTACGTGTCCTTACGATGGAGTGCCTTACTCATGGTTTACAAACACTGTGTATCTGCTGAGCTGTTCTCTGCTGTTTGCTGTTCTCTTGGGGAGGTTTTGGTGCTTTTGGTGTTTCCGGTGGCAGTGAGACCGTCCCTCCTCCTGTCCTGCCCTCCTGTCCCCGCCGAGCTCGGCTCTGCTCACCTGCTACCACTTCCCCCTGCTCTGGGCACGGCAGAACCAAAGGGCTCCGTGCCAGCCCAGGTGCCGGTGGCCGCTCCCGGTGTCYCCGTTTATCCCATTTATCTATGCATCGCTGCCGGAACGCGGGCGGGGTGTGCAGGGACACATCCCATCACTGACCACGCTTTGCTCGGCAGATCCAAACCCCATCCCGTCCTGCCAGAAATCCTGAAATGCACAAACCGGCACCTTATTCCCAGTGCAGGCGGTGTCGCTCYRTGTGGCAGCAGTGCCCGAGCTCCCKGGGGCCMTCCCCGTGCTGGTGTCACCAATTCCTGGCCAGAGTGGTGGGGACTGTCCTGGTCAGTCTGTGAGGAGGGAGGGTGAGTGAAGTGTAGCTGTTCCTGTGCATTGCTGTACTCCATAACAACGTTCCTTTATTCCATGGTATTTCTTAATCCTGGTTTTATATTGAAATCTGCAGGATTTTTGTACTGTACGCCCGCGGGAGGGGATGCATCATGCACTTTTTTTTTTTACTTTTGTTTGTAAAAATGTCCTGGATATTTTATGTGCTTCTTGTGAGAAAAAGAAAAATAAACTTTTTTTTTTCCTTTTACAAATGTGTTTTGTGCTTTGTTTGGAGGTGGGGAGGATCAGCTCACGGAGCAGTGGGCTGAGGGCTTCCTGGAGTTTTCCAGAGGTGCTGACACGATGGCACAGGAAGGAAAACACCAGGAGCCAGGGTGGGTGTGAGGCTTGTACAGCCCAGGGTTGAGTCTCTCCAGCGTGGAGCTGCAGCAGAGTTGAGGAGCTCATGCTGAGCTGGGAGTCCCGGAGCTCTGCAGTGGAAAGAACAGCTTTGAGGTCCTGTGGCACAGCCTGTCCCTCAGCCAGCACCGTTTTGGGGTCAGTGTTTCCTTTTGGCTCATTTTACTCACCCATCCCTTGGCTGGGTCAAGGGAGACATTGCTCCCTGCTCAGCTCAGCTTCCTGAAAACAGAGCCTCCCCACGGAGCCAACAGCAAGCCCTGCAGAGGTGGGTGTGAGTTGTTGGGTATGAGGAACCACAGGATGGGACTGTGGGATGGCCAGAGCGTGCCAGGCTGCCGGTGAGTCCCTGGTTCYTTTTTTGTTCTTGTTAGGATTGGAAATTGGTCCTTTTCGGAGCGGTTCCTTACGGCCGAATTTACATCCTGTTGTGATGTTGCCATGRCAAAACCAGGCAACATCTGGAGCAACACAAATTCTCTCTGGCGACCAGGGAGGGTTTATTTATAGCCTCGCTGGCCAGAGGAGATGCCTGAGCCTGGAGCTGCTGTGGGCAGGGGCAGCCTGGCACTGGGTGCCCTCGGTTGGGATCTGGGGTGGTGGGAGGTGCAGGGCCCAGCTGGGCCCCTCATCTCTCCAGGACCCTCCGAGGGGAGAATGTTCCCTGCCAGCATTTCCCACTTCCATGTGGGATTGGGTGACCACAGGGGTGGTGAACAGGTGCTTTAATGGTGGTTTTGGGTAAAAAGAAGAGGTTTGGCAGGAGGGTGAGGATGATTGAAGCCCCAGGAAGGGCTCTGAGGGCTGAGGCTGCCCTTCCACACTGGCAGAGGGAAAGCTGCTGTCTGTCTGGCTGTGGTTCTCCATGTGCCTGCAGCCCCGGGACGATGCCTCTGTGTCCGTTCCCACTGGGCTCTGGCTGGAAAGCCACACTGGCCTCTGGAAAGGTGGAAATGTAAATATTCAAAGCAGAAGCTGCAAGCCGGCACTGCCGAGGTTGGATGAGCCGGTTCCTGCAGCGGGCACGGGCTGAGCTGCGCTGCCGCTCAGGTTCGCTCCGGCCTCGGTGCACATTCCCTAAAAGTCTCTTCCTCCCTCTGTTTGAAGGATGAAGCAGCAGCGATGCTGCAGCAGCTGCCATTTCCTTTTATGCAGAGGGTTCGGGAGCAGAACTGCGTTGGTGCCGTGTCAGAGCTCCGAGCAGCTCCCTGGAACACGGGACACAACGCCCAGGGCAGGTCCAAGAGCCATCCGTGCCCCTTCCACACCAACCCCGGGCTCTGCAATCCCCACACAGGACAAGCCCAAACCACCAAAACATCCCCAAACAATGAAGGCTTGTGAGAAGCCCGGGAGGAATTTGGCTTTCGAAGGGAACACCCGAAATTATTGATGGGGTCACAATGCCAGTGCTGAGTGAGTTCATCCCATGGGAGAGGTGACTTGGCTGTGAAATTCCTCACTCTGCACCTGCCAGCATTTCTCTACCTGTCGGTGCTGGCAGGAGCCTGGCCACCAGCCCCAATCCCACTGGGAATTGGTTRTGTTTGCTCTGGGCAGCCTCGGCAGGGATCTAAGACTTCCAGTGGAAACAAATGGGGTTTTGTCTCTGCAGAGCAGCTCTGCAACGTGCACTGATAAAGAACTGCTCCAGCGAGGGGCCTGGCTGGCTCCGGGCCGGGAAGAGCTGGGATGACCCTCATCCCTCACTCCTTCCCCTCTGCTGTGACCGGGATTCACTCCTGGATGAGGTGGTGGCATCATGACCGTGTCCCAGGTGTCACCTGCACAGCTGCTGTGTGTCAATGGCCCTCAGAGGCTGCCTGGGTTTTGGGGGGCTCTGGATGAGGCRCTGTGGGATTTTCCAGCCCCATGGAATATCAGGGGATGCCTTTGGKCTGGGGCCAAGTCCTGGGGGGCTGTTTGCCAGCTCTTTTGGTGACACTGAGGTAACTCAGCCCTGACACCACAGAGGAGCTGTGCAGGCGTCTCTTTTGGGATGATCTAGGTGTTTTCCTGCATCCTGCCTCGGGATGCTTCCCAGCTCGGGGGAACCATAAAAGGCAAAGCGCTGGGGCAGCGGCGGGGCTGGGAGCTGCGGCTCGCTGCAATGCCAGGCATCCCAGCTGTGTACAAACGGATTAGAGCCCTCCAGCTCTCCGGCTCCACTGCCTTCCGGAGGTTTATCCAAAGGGAGGAATATTCTACTTGGGGGGTTATTTAGAGAAATACCCAATGCATGAATAGGGATTTTTGATAAGTTGTGTTTCAGTCTCATCAGGGAAAGTCATATCTGAGGCTGCTGTCGGGCTCCTGTGTTTATCTCAGCAGCCGTTCTCTGTCACAGCAATTCCCTTTGCCATAACATATTCCCACAGACCATTCCAACCTCTCCGGCTCTGCCCCGCATGCTGTGCAGGCGGCATCTCTCCCCCAAACTCTGGGACKCAGCCCAAGGCTGAGCGCTGCTTCCAAGGAAGGAGCGCTGGGGGAGCCGCTCYGCGTCCGACRGGCRCGGGGCAGGGAGGAGGGAGGAGAGSCAGGGGTACTGATGTGGGTTTTATTCTGTCCGTGAAACCCTCCGAGGAGCTGACRGAGTGATCCTGCCCAGACAGCCTGGCAATCAATCCCTCTGGAAGCAGAGAAACCGGAGAGAAGCCAGGATTGCTGCACAGGACTGTGGGGAGCTGTTGCTGGAGCAGGTTGGGGAAAGAGGAGAATCCCTGGAGAGGGATGTAGATGGGAAATACATCCTGACTGTGAAGTGCCACGGAATTAGCAGCTGGAGGGGGCTTTTCCKGTTATCCAGGTGGGATGTGTGTGGGTAGGGACCAGCGTGGCACCAGCTGTGCCSGGTGTGGTGTCAGGAGCCGCAGAGCAGGGCACTGTGGTGCCAGCGGGATGTTCCTGTCCGCTGGCCATGAGGCCAAGGAACGCCGGTTCACATGACCCAGGCTCCGACGCTTCCAAGTGCCGCCGTCTCCCGGAGCGAAGCCTGGAGAAGGCGGTGCTGAAAGCCTGCCCAGACCCAAGGTGGGAAAAATCTTGGCTGGCCAGTCCCAAAGCATTCGGAATCTGGAATTACGGGGACAGAGCTCCCGGCCATGGAAGCCTCCACCTGGCAGTACCGTGGATATTTACGGGATGACACAAGTAAGGCGAGGGGGAGAGACTGCCCAGCTTCCCGGGGAGACTCTGCAGGGACGTGTGAGGATTATCCACTGCTGCAGCTCAGCCAGGAGGGCCTGGGACACGGCCGGGAGCGGGGGGACCTCCCCAACCTCCGCAGYGACACCGGAGGCCCTGCCAAGAGGTCAGAGATGAGCGGCAGCGGGCAGAGAGGGCAGCGGGGGCTGGCGGGGGACCTGTGCCTGGAAGAGCATCCCATTTCCAAAGGGTGCAGGAAAAGCCAGGAGGGAGAAGCCCCTCCGAAGGTGTACGAGCTGGAGGTGGTGCCCAGGCGGGTGGGCACGGGCAGGACGGTGAGGCCGGTGGTCTACAGGCTGGAGGAGAGCGAGTACCGGCGCCTCATCCAGGAGGCAGAAACGGAAACGGAGGAGGGATGGGAAGAGACAGAGGACACGGTGCCCTTGATTGAGGAGRGCTACGAAGGGGATGGGAAGGTGGCGAGTCCGAGCCTCAGCAGGCTCAACTCCTTGGAAAGAGTCCTGAGGAGGCAGATGAGCCGCTCGGACTCGGAAAGCAGCGTGGAGAACAGGCAAGTGACCAAACCGAGCCCCAAGGGCCCCTCGGAGGGGAACAAACCCACCGTGCCCGTCAGGTCCGACAGCTTCGAGCGCAACGCCATCCTCATGGATTACATCCTGCAAAGCAAACAGGAGGCAGGGACACCCGTCTCCTTCATCCCCAGGGAYGGCAGCAGGGCAGCCGAGAGCCTGAGGCGGGCGTGGAGCTTCGACAGAGCGGTGGACCTGTACCAGAACGGCCAGGCCGGYGAGGAGGATCCGGCCAGGAAGCCTSGGCTRGACAAGCAGGTGGCGAAGAGCCTCGACAGAATGGTCCCTGCGGTCACAAATTATCCCTCGGTGACCAGAGACACCGGGAAGCTTTCGAGACAGAGCAGCAGCCAGCTCYTGGGGAGCAGGGAGCAGCTCGGAGGTGAAGCCGATGAACTCGATTCCTACATCCCGAAAAGAACCCCCCCGGCCCCTCCTGTCAGGACCCACAGCAAGGAGTGCCTGGCTCTGAGTATGAGCAAGGCTGTGGCGCTGACGGAGGCGCTGCTGGAGCCCCTCGGCGATGAGGCCAGGCCTGGCAGGGAGCAGTGGGCAGCGGCGGGCACGGAGCTGCTCCCTGGAGGCAGGGCTGAGGGAGGAGGGGGCTCGGAGGAGCCGGAGCGGAAGGGGAGGAAGAGTCAGGAGGATGAGAATGTGCTTAAAGTTGCCGATGCCAAGAAAACCTTTGAAAAGCCCAAGGCGTCGGAGGGGACGGCAGCAGCACCAGCGCCCAGAAAAGGTGAGGAGTGAGGGGTSCCGGCTCTGTCGTGGGGTTGGGGGGTCCTGGAGGTCGCTGTTCCAGGGCTGGTGGGGAGGGGAGGTGGGAGCACGGCCGTGGCTGGGAAATAACTGCTGGGAATAGGCGGGCGACAGACGGGATGTGCTCAGGGCTGAGGAGCCGGGACTGAAATCAGGTGTTGGTTCAAAGCCCACTGTGCAGTGAAATTTTTGGAGAAAGATTTGTTTTGTCAGATTCTCATGTAGGAATATGTACAATTTACTGCTTCTCACAGCAGCTGCAGTGCAGCAGTGTCCATAAGATGCTCCCTCCTACTACCATATGGGATTATTTGCCTCTGTCTC